TTCACAACGCTCGTGTTGAAGTGTACCGCGGATTTATGCGCATTGTGATAGATCAAAACACGAACGCCGAGATAAGGTCCCTTGGCGCCAATGTCAACGGTAAAAATACCGAGATACATCCAAATCTGGAAAAAAATGTGTCATTGAAGGAATATCAATATGTACCGCATGTGTTGAATGATGATTGACAAAAAATATTACTATTGACTTCATTGAAGTTTGGGTTTCCTCTTGGATGGGTTTTTAAAGAGGTAGGTTCCGATTGCGAAGTCGGTTGAGTATTAGATGCATTGTGAATATTGGGACAATGTTTTATTTTTGTTCATATAGAATTTCCAATTACATGATGTTTTTTATTTATTATATATTTTCGTGATTTATGGAAAGTCTATGCGATATAGTCTATTAAAATGATTACTGTCATCAGTCTATTCCGAATCAAATTTGATCCATTAAAAAGATTACCAAAAGAACGATGAAAATTCTATTGGAAATTATCAATATTTAGATTCGATTTTAAATAATTTATCAATTAGCCTTTGCGAATCAAACGTTACACTTTCTAATGGAAAAAATTTCGACAAGAAGTCCCATTTGTTTTCCGTCTGATCTCTACCTTGATCAGTTCAAGGTCTTGTGATACTTTATATACTGTATGCACATCATCTTTATGTTGAAGAGGGATGTTTAATATCATATTACAATTGTGTATATTTATTATACTTTATATCATTATATCATTTGGTTTTACTTTTAAAAATAACAAAATTCAAATATTTATTAAAAAAAAAAAGAAAAAGAAGAAAAAATCTTTTTCTTGTACCATAATTACAGTATATACGATAATTCTTTCTGTATGTTAAATCATTTACTGTATCTTTGGCCATGAATTCAAGATATGATTTTGAAAATAATAAAAAAGGTTTGCTTATTATATACTGTATATTATTTTCGATTTCAAAAAAATCATTGTTTTTGTAACAAAAATTGAATTTTTATAAGGAATATAAATACTTAATTATTATAGTATTTGAAGATATATAAAAATAAATCCTAAAATTATTTAATAAATAAATCTTTATAAATTTTAATTGTAATAAATTATTTTATTTATTATTTTAATAGAAACTATATTTATAAATATTTAAATTTATAATATTTAAAATACTGTATAATGATATTTTTTTTTTTATTTATAGCTTGAAATTCAATAAGTAAAAATTTTATATTTATATATAATATACAGTATATTATTTGTTTAATAATTTAATTTAATTATTGAAATTTTTTAATTATAAAATTTTTTTTTGAAAAAATTTTTGCTTTTTAAAAATATTTTATATTAATCATTTATGATTTAAAAAAAAAGATTATAATCAAATATAAAAATTATTTATAATTTTGTATCTTATATTAATAATAAAATAATAATAACTATATATTTAAAAATATTGATTTTTTTAAAAAACAAATTTATATATTTAATACTATTAATGTAATATCAAAATAGTACTAATATATAATAAATTTAATATATGAATTGTGATCCATTTATATAAATTTATAATAAAATTAAGTATTAAAGTAATATTGAAGTGGTATCATTAGAAGCCCTAATTTTTTCTATTTTTCTTTATATATTTTTTTTATTCTCTTTACTTATTTTTTTAATTATTTTTTTTTATTACTCTTATTTTTTTATCACTTATTTTTTTTATCTTTTCATTTATTTTTCATTTATCTTTTTCTTTTCATTTATTTTTTTGCTTATCTTTTTTTCTTTTTTATACTTATTTTTTCATTTATTTTTTTTACCTTTCTCTATTTATTTTTTTTTGTATATCTTTTTATTTTTTTTCATTTATTTTCTATTTGATTTATTATTATTTATTATTATTTATTTGATTTCAATTTCTTTTTATTTATTTTTTTTTTTACTTATATTTAATTTATTTTTTTATTTTTTTATTTTTTGTTTATTATTTTTTACTAATTTATTATTTTAATTAAATATTGAAACAAGTTAAAACAAAACAATTTATTAAAGTTAAAAATAAACATTTTATAAGCAATCAAATTTATTATTAAAAGTTATAAAAAAATTATATTCAAAACTATTTATAACTATTAAAATTACATGAAGATTATTTACAATAATAATAATTATATATATAATGAAATTAAATTCAAATATTTTTTAAAAATTGTATTATAATAGAATTACTAAATAATATATAGTAAATAATTTGAAATTGTATTAATTTGAAATTGTATTGTTAATTAAATTTTCTTTTATAATAATATTAACACTAGTTGAAATTTGGTCATTTGGCATGTTGAATTATTATCGAATTTTTAAATTTTTTATAAGCCGAATTTATGCCGTTTGGTGTCACTCGGCATAAAAATCAATATAAATATTCGTTAAACATTCATTAATAGTTCGACTATAACATTATAGCATTCAGCAATGTAAATATATATATTTGATAGATAACTTAACCATAATTTAACATATTTTATGTTTGAATTTTCATATATATTAACGATTAATTTCATTATTTAAAAATAAAATAATTAATAAAATTCAACAATTATTTATAATTATAATTAACAAAAAGTTTATTAAAATATAATAAAATAATATAATTTGAATATAACAAAAAAATCGCTCATA